TATGGTGAGTCGCCACTTTTAATATACTGTAGGCCTGTTTCAAATGGTAGAAATGTCCATAAACAAAAGAACAGGTCGTTAAAGGTTAGCTTTAACCGATCACCTTTTCTCTCTTTCTCTTTGAACTGTATTTGATACCTTTCAGTGAGGCTGGAGTATCTTCTTGGGCTATGGGGTACAGCGCAGTAGATAACTAGGAGATCTCTTTTATTTTGTATTATAAATTTTATTTATTCTGTATTTTATTCAGAATACATGGGGAAGTTTTGTTAGAATATTATTAATACACATATTTTCTATTTCATGACTTCACCGTCATTTCTCTTCTATTTAAGTCATTTAATCCAGGCCCTTCCCTCACTTAGCCTGTAGCTCTCTTAGACAAGAAGTGAGAGGAGAACTCAACTATCTCCATTAGACACGATCTCCAATGTCTTCTCCCCTCCCTTAGGAGATTTGATTCTGCTGTTTTGATGGGACGTGACCTTCTACTAACCTTGAAGTGCTGTCCTAAGCCCTGGTATTAAACTGTCTCCGTTTTAGCCCCTGCTCCATTTCTCTATCTGTAGCTATTTCAGACCAGCTTCTTCTGAACATGGGAGTAACATGCATTCCTCTGTAGCTGCAAACCCTAATTTTCATACCCTCCTTTCATATCTGGCAAAGCGGAAGCCCCTCCAATGTCCCAGATGTCCTAGTGCAGTCTCTTAGTTATCCTTTTTTGTTATTGTTGTTTGCTTCGTTTTGAATTTTGGTCATGTTATTTGCTGTTTTGGAGTCTTCCATTCCCAGATGCTTGACAGACTAAGCTTGTGAGTGGGGGTTGGAGAGTGGAGGGATAAAGGTGGAGTGACAGAAAAAGGCCTCTCTAAATCAAATATCAGACCTGGAATAGTGATGGGAAATGAAGCCGGTGCTGCTGGAGGCTATTCTCTACCATTTATTTCAGTGTGTTTACTTCAGGCGTCTTGTGTTACGTAAACAATGGTATTTGTGTTGTAAGTGATGCAGCAGAAGTTACTTCTGATAACTGTGAGAGAGATGTGTGTGTTTATAGCCACCTTGAAACTTTAGATTTAGATTAACCAGAGGGTAAGAGAGCTGGTTATAGTGAAGTCCCAGCAGCAGAAGGTAAAGGTAGGAAGACGACGTGTCAAGGCCAGTCTGGGTTATATGAGGCTAGAGACCCTGCTTTAGTCCATCAGTTCATCCATTTACTTAAGGGAGCTGTAGCAATACAGATCTCTTTAACTTTTCCTTCGCTGTGTTAAGAATGAGTAAGACAGGGCTGGAAAGAACCCAATAGTCAAGGGGACTTGATGCTCTCACAGAGGACTGATGTAGGTGGCTCACAACCAGTAGAGTTCCCAGTAGAGCTAAAGTCCTCTTCTGGCCTCTCTGAATACCCATATGCACTTACACATACACCTAAGTAAACAAGAAAATAATTTTTAAAGAGAAAATTTTAAAGGAATAGGATAATGTATGCAGTAGAGAGAAGAAAGGAACAAATGAAGGTCACAAGATCATGCTTTCTTGATCACTCCTTCATGTCTGCCTTCCCTGAGGCAGGTAGGTAGCTTGATTTCAGAGTGAGCCCAATAGAACTCAGGGAGTTAAAGTTTGATAAAGAAATGGAAGGGTGGAGCTGGAGAGGTGGGTCAGGGGTTGGGGCATTGGCCAGTCTTGCAGAGGACCTAGGTTCAATTCCCTGGATCCACATGGTGCCCAATAGTCAGCTCTAACTACAGTCCTAGGGGATCAAACCTCCTTTTCTGGCCTCCACAGACCCTGCACACACACATGGTGCACAGGTACACATGGATGTAAAATACCCATATAAATAAAATCTCAAAAAATTTAAATAAATGGGCTTAGAGAAAAATGACAGAATAAAAGAAAGGGAACCTGGGGCTAGAATCTCATCCCTCTTTGTTTTCTAGAATCTCTTGGTGTTTCTTTCTATGTAGACATCAAGAAAAGCAAATTATACCAAATACCTGAATCTACAGCTCAGAAATACATCCTATGTAATACTAAAACATGTCTTAGACACTTGAGAGTAGTGTTTGAGGAGCAGGACGCTTAGGCAAGGGTAGTTATGGTGGCAGTCTTCTTAGTTTGCGCTTGGTCACCTTTCCCTGTAGCACTGGAGTGTTAGTTGTTCATGATGGGATACCACCCAGCCCTCCAGTTAGAGCACAGAGAATGTGTTGACTAGGACCAGGAAGTGAGGTGGGACTGGGGAAAGCGGACTGCAGGAAATACTGGAAAGAGGACAGTTCTGGAAAGAATGGCTATTTAAGTCACATGTGCCACATGTGACCTGTGAGATGCACTCTAGAACTCTTCTTTGTAGAACTGAATTCTTTTCTATTTCTGCCAGTTTGCCCTAAACTTGTTTCAGACATTCCTGGGGTTGACTTTGGGGCCTTCAGATGACCAGCTCTGTGCTTCAACTTCGTCCTGCCTTCCAGTGATTGTTGCATTAGCTTGGCAGTTCCAGTCCTCACTGACAGTTCCCCTGTTTTGCCTCCCCATATTTAGCTTACCAACTCAGCCCCATCTCCAGGAGCTGAATTTTACCATTTTGGGCTTTGATTCTTCTTCCCAGCATTTGTAGGATTTGAAGAATTATAGTCAGACTTGTATAAGTTTATGCTTTGCAACATACTAAACACTGTTTGCACCCTGCGTCAGTGCATGAGATGCTAAATTCCTGTGGGAGACAGCAAAGAGAACATCCTTGCCAGAGTAAAATCTGGATAAATTAATATAGACTCAAAACCCCTGATCTCTGAGTTAAAGTTTGATTAACAAAGGGAAGGGTGGAGCTGGAGAGGTGGGTCAGGGGTTGGCGCATTGGCCACTCTTTTATTGCCCAGAAAATGACCGATGCACCCAGATGCACTCTTGTCTAAGGAAAGATTGTGTGGATGCTGCGGTTGCTTAGGAGACTTTGAATACCACATTACCAGCCCAGAAGACAGGAAAGAGACAGACTAGTTTATTCTATGCATACACGAATGAAGCTGAGCTAATTTCATCCTGCTTAATATGTCTTGGGTCAAGATTTGCCACTCTCTTTGAAGATTGGAGTTAGCAAGCAAGCCTTTGCCCATTTCCCCATTCTTAGACGAGAGCTAGCACACATGGTTCACCTTAGTGAAAAATGCAAACACGTACATGGCTTTCAGGGAAGAGGGAGTCCTGGAGCCACCTTACCCCTGGAGAGAACCTGATCAGGTCATTGCAGCTACCTCCCTTGGGTGCTGCTCTTCTATAAACAGGAACAGGAATTCTTCTTGCCACTAGATCCCTGTTGTCAGGTGGCTTAGGCCTGCTGAATGAAAAGCCTTGTGAAAGGAGATGCAGCCCTAATAATAACAGGCACGATCCTGTTGGCTATTCTGGGCAAGGGAGGCTTTGTGCCGCGCTTGATCTCTATCGATGCCTGCCATTCTTGCCCTGCTGTTACCTTTGGACTTCCTATTCTTAGAATCATTTGTGAGCCCCGGACTTGGGGGATTGCAGCCCCCAGGACTGGAATGCCCAGCGTGAGTGGAATGCAGACAGTCTGAAGAATGGAGGTTAAATAAAGTTTGCCTTGTCGGCCCCTCTTCTCTGGGATGGCTAGCAGGTAGTTGGGATATAAGAGCAATGGCGTGAGCTGTCATGTAGTGTAGTCCCAAACAACCTTCTGGATATAAGTGGAAGTGGTTGATGGTCCATCCTTGACCAACATAGCCATGCCTGTCTCCAAGGAGATACATACTAAGAAGGCCTCAACAGTGACTCCGTGTCACTAGGGAAAAATACAGAAACGTAAAGAATAATGTTGACACACCTTCCAGGTTTCCAGCTGAGTTCCAGAACTGGTTTATCTGTGCCTGAGAGTTAGTGAATCATGTTTGAAAGCAAGACAGAGGGAAAGGCCTTCATAATGAAACTAGATATCACTCAGCAAACATTTCTTGGGACACAAGGTACTTTGCGGATTTTGAAGAAGTACAAGGCATTGAATTCTTGTTGACCTGACAGTCTAGTTAAAACATAAAGCTCTAAACACATGGGAAAGAAATTCATATGCCAGAGTATGTTAACTACACACCTTCTGACAGCGCCAAGTGCCGGAGGAGGCGTCAGGAGGAAAGCACTTGAGCTGGGCCTCTCAAGGAGAGTTTCATGCAACAGGGAGTGAGTGTTTGCATGAGAGTTTGTGGAAGCAGAGAGGAAAGCTTGAAGCAGTGTGTGGGTGTAGAACATCCTGAAGACAAAGGCTTTACAGGCCTTCTGACCATACCAGATGGCAAGGAAGAAGAATAAGAGATTGTGTGGAAATCACCATCTTAACTCCAGGGCAGTGAGTACAGGAGAGAAGGAGACTCTGGGTACAACCCAAAGATTGCTTTGAGATTGGGGCCCACTAGCATTTCCTCTGCAAGGGCCTGGTACAGTGTTATCACAATTGCTTGTCTTGAAATGTGTGGTCCTACTTGTTGAGCTGGCTTGGTTTTCCAGTAAGACTGTGGCTACTTACATGAGTATACTCTTGTTAGTTATACTCTTGTTATACTCTTGTTAGTCTTGTTAGTCTATTAGGACGAACCTAGGAAAAATATAGTGGATACGTAAAGCTTGTAAACAATGGGAATTCGCTTTTCACACTTCTCAGGACTGAGAAGTCAGGGTCCTGATACTGACAGAATCAGTCATATGCCTACTTTTTGGTTCACAGACTTCTATCTCATTCCTATGTTCTTACATGGTAAAAGATGAAACACGTCTTTTGGAGGCTTAAGTCTCTTTAGAAAGAACACTACAGCCATGTTCACAGAGGCTATGTCCCATGACCTAATTACCTCAGAGCCCATGCTCACTAATACTGTCTCTTCACAGCTGGGATTTCAAAATATGAGTCTGAAAGGAGAGGTAGACAGCCAGCCTGTTGCCTTGAAAGTGCCTGGCTTTTCTGAGCTTTCTTCTTTCTTCTACCACAGGTGGCTAGAAGTCCAGGTGGCTAATCTAATGTGTCCCCAGCGCTGGGTGCAGTACCTCCGGCTTCTTCGGGAATCTATCTGGCCTGGTGGGGTGTTGCCTAAGTTTCCACGGCCTGGGAGGACTCAGGCACAGAAAGCAGCTACTGAGAAGCAGGCTTTGCAGAGCTTGATGAGTATCCTGCCAGGTAATGGGCTCAGTGAGATGGTGATGCTTTCTGCTAATGCATATTCTTCCCTCCCATCCTGCCTGACACCTTCCCCATCTCCAAAAGGGTCCTTACGGTCCCATTTCTCCAACTGATGGGAGGATGGCCACAGCTGTGATTCTTCCATCACTCAGGTTTGATGACGAGAGTAGAAGGATCACACAGATACTAAAGAATAGACGTGTGGGTTCAAGACTTTGGGACAGTTCTGAAAAAGCTGTTGCTGCAATAGCAGATCTCAACACTGTTCCCACCTCGTAACGATGCTGAGTTCTCTGCTAACTGATGGTATTTGGGGACTAGAGAAGAGCATGCTGCCTCCTGAGAGCTCACACTTGATTAATTGTGTCCTTAGCAATAGTAAAAACACGGCCTTCTCTTGTGTTGTTTTTCAGTGCCAGGGAAGGCCGTTTGTTGCTTGTGGCTGTGGTAACCAGGGAAGAGTAATGAGTTCAGCTCTGGACAACCCACTTGAGTTACTTTTTCACCAGCCTAAGCACTGGCCTCAAAAAATATCTCTCCACCTTTGTGGCAGGTCGCAAAGCCCTTGAGGTGCATTCTAAATTACATATTTTTAAAAGCCGTATTTTTTCACAACTTCTTTCTGTTCTATGGTATTTTTATTTGGCTGTGTACCTTAGGGCTATGCTAGAAGTAGCCAATCTGTGGGCTAGCATGAGTTCTGGGAGATGCTCTTCTTTGATTCTAAGGCTGCGGTGGTCTTACTTGTTTTTTCTCCTTCAGATTTTTTAGTGGACATCCTGGGGGTGAACAAGTGCCGGCTGAGCTGGAGTCTAGTCTTGGAGTCGTTCCAGCAACCCCTCATCAACAGGTAGGCCAGAATACGCAATACCCAGCACAGTGTAGGTAGAGCTGTCTGCTGTCACAGGTATAAGGTTGGTAAGGTCAGAGCCCACTGTCAGAATAGGTCTGCACTTGTGCTGACCAAAGGGTCAGTAATCCAGATTCTACACACACTCAGGGAAAGCTGTGCTGCCAGCTTCTGAGCAGTGACTTGGTGGTAGAAGGCTGCTGTGGGACCAGTCACTGTTTGTGTCTGGAAGAACTCAGTGCAGACCCCAGCAAGAGCTGCTAAAAGTGCTCTGCTAACCTCCAGGCAAGAGCAGTCCTTGTGACTAAATTCCATAAAATGCCACTTTACACAATTACTTCAGCACTTCAGCACTGTGCTGAGGAAATGTGCTCAATGGTTTTCCCCAACATTTGTCAGTTCCTATGTCAGGAGTATGCCCTGACCTGCTCAGGCTACGTGATGTCTTCCAGCACAGGTTCCCAGCTTCACCGCAAAGCTGTGATTAGTACTGAGATCAGAAATTGTCATTGTTTAGTGGGACATAGATAGGGTTGCATCATATAAAGGGACTAGAACCTAGAACACTTCAGGAGATAGATCCTATCTCTAAGGCGGGACAGCTTTGAGAAAGTATCATATCCCCTAGCACCTGCCTTCTCAAGCCTCCATCAGTGTCTAAGTTCTCAACTCTCAGACTCAAGGACTCAGTTCACAGAGAGTAAATTCACTGCGATCCATCATCAGAAGCAACAGTCAGCTGTCGTGACATCCCAACAGTTCTTCCCAACAGAAGAGCAGTTGTGCAGAGTAGTGCTGGCGTGCTGACGCCACTCTGCAGAGAATGTGGTTTTGCACAGCCTGGTCTCCAGTACTGCTCTTGTCTTCGTTGAGCTGTAGCTTTCAGTAGTGCAGTAAGCACTGATTCCATGGCAGCTGTGCTACAGACTTTGCAGCTGCTGGTAACAGTTGAAGCATCTTAGAGTTCGAAGACAAGAGCTATATGAGGCAGGCACTCTTCTCAGTTGGTTCTATCTATTTCTTTTAGACATTTGATTTACTGCCTTGGAGACATCATCCTGGAGTTCTTGGACCTCAGTGACACCGTTGAGGAGCCTGCGCCAACCACCTCTGCCTCAGATTCCCCAGGCAGCCTCAAGAGAATGGCTTTCTCTGCTTAGATAGAAGTCATTCACACCGTCCTCAAAGGCTTGAAAAAGAGAGCTTTCAACCACCCAAAGACCGATTAAGATATCTGTGCCCTCTGGAGCTAAGCTACCTTAACTAGCCTCCATCTCAGGGGCTCGATTCTCCTGCCAGATCTCCCTTAGTAACAGGTGATGGGGATCAGTAACCCAATTGCATGCATATCTGTTTCCATAGTCATGCGGATTGCTGCTGATGAGGAGGTCTTGTTTCGTGGGAAAGGACGCTGTGAAGCAGAGACTTCTCCTTTGCCTTCTCACCATCATGGTTTACCAACAGCATGGCCCTGTGCATGTGTACACCTAATCCACAAATGCACAAGCATTGGGTAGTACAGGAGAAAACTATAGCCAGATTTCCTAGGAGGAGAAACAGTCTCCTGAGCTCTCTCTTCCCACCTGGAAACTAAACGTTTGTTCGGGATCACTCCTTTGCCCTGCCTGGTGCTGCGGTAATTCCAGAAGAGGGAAGGAAAGTATATCTCAAGGGACTTCTTGCTCTTTGGCTGTTTTCTCACACAGTGGCCTTTTAGGGGATGTCAGGAATGCTGTTTCCTTGGGTGGCTATACTTTTCCTGTCCAGAAGGCTTCAGAGCACACAGTCAAACTTCTGGTAAATCCACCCCACCCTTCACACCCTTTCCTGCAAGGGTTTACACTACAGATTTTCTTAACTCTCCTACCCAAGAGCAAATGAGTTTCAGGTTTGTAAGTTTCCCTCTATCCTAACAGAATTGCATGACAAGTTATATATTCAGCCTCAGTTTTTCCAAAGAGGAGGGAAAGTACTTGTTCCATGGCTGAGGGTGTACAAAGAACAGCAGTTGGGATAAGTGGGAATCCCCTCACAAGACTTGGCCAAGAATCGTTTATTCTGAACACATAATATAGCAAACTTGCAGGATATAGATTTTATTTCCCATTCCGTAATTAATCCTTATGAGCCTAGCGATGAAGGCAGAAGTGTTCTGCATCCATTGGAAAAATGGAACAACTCAGAGGAACTGTTAGACGAAAAGGGAGTTGGAGGGAGTCACAAGGGAAATGCTACTTCCAGTAAATGCTTATGAGTCGCTGGCATTCACATGGTACCAATGAGAGACCATACCCAACCCCCAGCTCATTAGGATGCACATGGATGGGGCCTTGGAGGAAGGCTGATGAGAATGGGATGAGGCATCAAGAGCCAGCATCAAGGTTTACCACTCTGAAGTATGTAATGAGCACACAATTAAGTTGTTCATAGAAAAGGGTCGTGCCCTGAGAGGCTCATCACTGCACATCAATCACTCTCTGATGTGACTGGGAGGCTTGGGCTGCTGCTCTTGCCGAAAAGCAAGAGGTGGGTAAGATAAAGTTTCATGGCCTCTTCTGGCCTTGAAGCACGACTTGATGGCTCCAGAGCCCTTTGGCCCTTACAGGCAGAGGTAACTCAACATGCTGTCCTTTGAGGTTCCAGGGAACTCCTGAGATCTGCTCCTGCAAGAAGGACCACTTTCTTCTCTTTTGGTGGAGTGATCAGTCCTGATATCTGGAACTCTGCACTCCCCACACCCAGCCCTCCACATGTCCATAGTCACCTGTGTCACTTTGAATCTACTACCAGTCCTGGCACACGTGCGTAAACCTGTCAGTAGTCCATTACACCGTGAGTTCCCTATTGCAGTGAAGTCCAAGGGATCTTTTCATGCATGCAACCCAGAGAACTTCCTTGCATTTTATTTTATGTAAGAGACCCACCTGCCCCAGCAGATAAGCTTTCCTCAAGAGGAAAATGATAAAGATAACTAGGGAGATCATCAGAACCCATATGGCTTTGAAAAAGACCTGCTAGGTTTGGGTGTCATGGTCAGGCCATGTGATCATCAGCATGTGGAAGAGCCCGAGTGTCAGGATGATGCTCAGGTTGGGAGAATGAAAAGCAGGGAAGAACTGAGTCCACACTGGCCTGCTGCTTTTCTCTCCTTTTTGTTTGTTGTTTGTTTTGCTCTGGCTTTTTTATGACTATGTTTACTCATTAATTCAAAATATTAATATCTGAAACAAGACCAACACTCTGTCTTGATGATGTATCTAGTAAAAATATGAGGGATGGAAGGACACTGAGCTCTTTCTGTCAAACTCTAAATGTGATCCTTACCATTATTTATTGAAGTGCAAGAAAACTGTATTTAATTATATAATATTATATAGCTATAATAGCCCACAATTTTTTTCAAGATATTGGATTAAGTTTTATAGAATCTAGAAGGAAAATGCACTCCCAGATCTGAGCATAGGAACATGTACAAATTTAATATTAAGAGAAGTTACCCTGACTTCCATTGTGAAGTTTCCAACAAACAACATGACTTTTTGTTACAGAGGTGCCATGGAGTTTTGCCTATAAACACTGTTGTGCACCACATCGCTAAAGATTTCCATCATGCGTAACTAACTTTATACTCCGTGGAAAGCAATCTCTCCCAATCTTGCTGGTTGTTGTGGTGTATTGGATGGTCACCATTCCACTTTCTGTGTGTGTGAATCTCACTTCAGTTGAGTGGAGCTGTGCAGTGTGTGCCCTATGGCTGACTTACTTCACTTAGCATTGTGGCTTCTGGCTCATCTGTGTAATAGCATGTGAAAACAATCCCTTTTAGACTCAACAATGTTCTGTTTTATGCGTACGCCACATTTTCTTCATCTATTCATCCAGTGATGGACATTTAGGCAGCTTTCATTTCTTGGTTACTGTAAATACAATGGAAAATAGCAGTGCAAGTACTTCTGTGGAACCCTGCATTCTATACTCTTAGATAAAAGTGCCCAAAAGTAAGATTGCTGGGCTATATAATCATTGTATTTTCATTGTGATTAAAATTCTGTCCTGTGTAGCAGCTACATTTCTACAAGCAGTGCATAAGGTTCCAATTTCTGATGTGCTTGCACTCACGTGTAACAATTGCCTGCCTCACTGTGGAGTGCTGCTTCACTGTGCCTTGATGTGTATCACCCAGACCTTCTTGAGTCCTGCTTTGCCTTACTCCTCCCGTTGATTTTTTTATTTGCTCCCAGCACCTAACAGTTGTTGGGTCCTAGATGGGGTGACAGTGTATAAACATAGTCCCTGGATATATGAGTTAGGGTGTTCTGGGTAGGAATTAAGTTGCTAGGAACATTGTATTTTCTTCCATAAAGTCAGTGCATATGTAAATGTTCCAGAGGTTCACTGCTTCAACAACGTTGGGACCTTACAAGAGCTGTTTTTGTTATTGCTGTTGTTTGTTTGTTTTTCTGCTCTTCCATCCTAAATGTTTTAGGTCTGTCCTAAGACACCCTAGTCCATGCTAACTGTGCTTCCTGACACCCCATCCAGATCTACTGTCTGAAAGGTAGGGCGTCACTTTCAGAGACTGAGGGGTCCATTCAGGAACTCCTCCGGGAATCGTCTCACTCATTGCCCCACCCTCACTGCTGGACCGCACACATTCAAAATGGTTGGCTTACAGTAGTACTTACTCCCAAGGATACAACAAGTACTAAATGAAAGTCAGACAGATAAAAGAATAGTTTTTCAAGGAATAAACAATGAGTGTGTGTTGATAGACATTGTCTCCGTAGGCATTCATTCTGCCCATCAATCTCCCATGGAAGTTGCCTTTTGTTGAGGTCATTTGCATATATTATCATTTGTCCCAGTAGTCAACAACATGGGGTAAGTTCTGCCATGTTGCTACTTTATAGACGTAGAGCATGACACATAAGTGACACACGACACATCAATTACTGTAGTGATACGAGCGGCAGGGCTGCGTCCCCGGCACCCGGCCACCGCATGGCTAGTTTATGCCTGAAATAATTACACGGAAACTGTATTCTTTTAAACACTGCCTGGCCCGGCTAGTTCCAGTTTCTTATTGGCTAGCTCTTACATATTAATCTAACCCATTTCTAATATTCTGTGTAGCCCATGAGCTAGCTTACCAGGAAAGATCTTAACCTGTGTCTGTCTGGAGTGGGAGAATCATGGCGACTCCTGATTCAGCTTCTTTTTCCCAGCATTCTCTTCTGTTTACTCCACCCACCTATGTTCTAACCAATAAAATGGGCCAAGGCAGTTTCTTTATTATAATTAACCAATGTCCTTCATCAAATTACTTGCAAGGAAGTGACAGAGCCTGGATCCAAATCCCATCAGTCTCTCTGAGCATACTACAGACCACTCAATACTTACTCAGTTCTAATGCTCCCAGTCCTCAGCTGCCTTCTTGTCTTACACAGGAAAATCTGACCAGGTTCTCAGTTTTTGAGAAGTCCCTAGCCTGATGCAGTACCCAGAGGGCTCCTGTAAAAAGATGGAACGCAAATACTTCAGGCGCTGTGACTGCATCCTCAGCTGTAGCCACTCAGTTCCTCCATGGTCGTGAAAACAGCCACCAACAATCCATAAATAAGGGAAGCCGTGTTCCAGCAAAGTGTGAATTAAAAACACAGGCAGCTGGCCAGACTTGATCCTTGAGCGGTAGTTTTCAGACCTAGTCCAGTGAGTTACAAGAGTGCTACTAAACTGCTATGCCTGCAATTCACCTGCAATCCTGTTTAAAAAGAGAGAGAGAGAGAGAGAGAGAGAGAGAGAGAGAGAGAGAGAGAGAAGAAAGAGAGAGAGAGAAAGAAAGAGAGAGAGAGAAAGAGAAAGAAAGAAAGAAAAGAAAGAAAGAAAGAAAGAAAGAAAGAAAGAAAGAAAGAAAGAAAGAAAAAAAAATTTTGACTCTAGTCTGGGACCCAGTAAAAATACAAATGCCTTGTTCTGTGATGTTGATGACATACTTCCCACCCCTATACTGAGGAGACAGGTGAAAGACTTCCTTCAGGGACCCCACCCAGCACCTGTCACATGTCCTTTCTACCACAGCAATATGACTTTTCTTCCAGCTGAAGGCTTGCCTGTCCAGGATAGGAAAGGGATGGGCACCTGGGAAGAGCTGGTCATTGGCAAGGAGAGGAACTATGGTACTTTTGTAGTTGAAGGCCCAGCTGGATAACTCTGCCATAACTTGGCCTCCTCTGTTTCCTTTCCACTGGAAATAACAGAGATCACAGGACAGTCATTCTCACTGCCTTTGTGGAAAAGAGAATGAAACCATTGAAGGGTGAAGTTCAGCTAGCAAGCCTGTATCATTACTTTGAGGTGAGACACTGCTACAGGAAAAATGGGATTTCTCAGGAGAGCATCCTGGGGGAGGCATTGTCCCGGGCATCATTCCACATCCTGAGCCTTAGCTGAAAGCTCCCATTGCATAGAGATAACACTGAGTGTCTTTTTGAATAAGCCCAGGGCAATGCAGAGATGGCTCCGCAACTGAGTACTGTTCTTGCAGAGCGATCAGTTTCCAGCATCCGTATCAGGATGCTGTTACTCAACTCCAGGAGATTCAACAGAGCCTTTTGGGCTCTGCTGGCACCCTCCCTCCCACACACACACACGTAAACAGATATCCACACACATGATTTTAAAATCGAAACCCAAAAGTAAGTTCAAGCACCAAGAAAGAAATAAGACCTATTCCTGTGGTGAGGTGGCATCAATGAAAGGGCAGATCCCGCTCAGAGGTGGCAGAGAAACCATGGAGGCCAAGTCACATGGCGGATATATGAGCTGCTCTCACACTGACCGTGGCTTCCTGCTGCCTTCCCAGTCACTTCTCACCTGTGTTTAGTTCAAAGGTCCCTGTCAACTCGGCTGCTTTGGACACAGAGCAAGCATGCAGCAGGAGGAAGAGAATGGCTTTTGATGGTCCTTGCCAATGTGACATTGAATTTCTCCAAAGATCCCCTCCTCCATTCTGCAGGTGTGTCTAGAGAAGTCAGTGTTACGGGTTCTGAAGTGTGGATGGTTGTGGTTGGGAGGGATGAATGAAAGAAAAAGGAAGAACCGAATCCAAATCCAAATGTAGAGAGCATGGCTTGCTTCTTGAGACACCATCTTTATGTAGCTTAGGCTAGTTTTGAACTTGTGACCCTTCCTCCTGTATCTCTAAAGTGCTGTGACTGTAAGTACCATACCCAGCCAAAAACCATTTCCTAAAGTAACATTATCTACTTCACCCAAAGTAGACCCAAGTCACCAGTAAGTGTTTGCTTAGGGAATACAAGCTAGGTGTAGGATTAAAGTGTCACAGTGGTTGACCATATGTCTGTGTGAGTGGCCCACACCTGGTTCTCCTCCCTTACTCCAAGTCACCGCTGCACACCATTGTTACATGCAAGGGAGAATTGGCTATGATTACTCAGAAACTTTAGTTCGTAAGGGTGAAAACCAAGCACAGAAGTCTGAGAACAAATAAAGAGCCTAACAGCCTGGAGAAATGGCCCAGGGGTTAAGAATGCTTGCGGCTCTTCCAGAGGACCAAGTTCAGTTTGCAGTGCTCTGACTGCAGCTTAGCAGCACCAGCATCTGTAGACCCAAGGGATCTGATGGCTTCTTCTGGACTCCAAGATAACTACAGTCACACGCACACACCCCCAAAACACCGGCATACATAGACATAATTAAAAATAAAATGTTAAAAAGAGAGAGACTTGGCTAGGTGGTGGTGGTCTTTAATCCCAGCACTTGGGAGGCAGAGGCAGGCAGATCTCTGTGAGTTCGAGGCCAGCCTGGTCTACAAGAGCTAGTTCCAGAACAGGCTCCAAAATTACAGAGAAACCCTATCTCGAAAAAAAGAAAGAAAAAAGAAAGAAAGAAACTCTGCCTGCCTATATGAGTTAACTTGAGTCTGGAGACCCATACCAGTCCACTTGCTGTAGAGCCATCCTGTCCTCATGGCTGTTAGAAAGATTAGCCTTTTGGCTATGTGTAAAGTGTCTGCACCCCATATCTTGCCACCAAGAGAAAAATACCTTCTTAAGGAGGGAAATCTCTTTTAGAGTTCACATCCCGTATCAGAACAACTCCTGTGAAATCCAGCAGGCTAGCTCCTTCTCATCTTCATGTGCTTGTGCACTCAACCTTCTACTCTCTAGGAAGGCAGGGGTTTTTTGTTGTTGTTGTTGTTGTTGTTGTTGT